AATTTGAAAATGGGTTTCTGATAATCTGTTAGAGGCATAGTAGCTTTATTTGAGACGGGTCCAACATATCATTTTCAGACAAGCAAAAAAAAACACAAAATTTGCACACACATAAAACAGACCTCTCCTCAGAAATTGTCGGTAATTAGACAAATGTTATACTTGACGAGTGCTTAATGGCGTGATACATTTTGAATGAATACAATAAATATTTTTCAGACGGCAATAATAAACCGTTATTCATATAAAACAGAAGATTTTTCAAAAAATCTTGACATATTCAATTCGGAGCTTGTGTAGATTTGAAACAATTCTGAAAACTTCGAGTCTGTGTACTAGAAATTTTTCAGTTAACATACATTTATATATATATATATATATATAAAATATATATATATATATATATATATATATAAATATATATATATATATATATATAAATATATACATATATATATATATATATATATATATATACTAGATTGCTATATATATGAATTAATCAACAATCACAATGATACAACATATGCAAATTTTTAAACATAATAAATGAACATCGGGAAAGATGGCATCTCACAAAGCGGCATTATTCCTTAAAAACGGCCCAGTTGTTTTGGAAACAGACATGAAAAATGAGTTTCAATACGATTGAATTCAGCGCGTTTTCGACAAGGAAATATCTTTATTTGCATTCTTGGACAGCACTTTTTCCCCGTTTCAAAATCGTTTATTCTTTTTCTTTTCAGTGCGATCTAACACGCTTGTCCGATTCAACTGCTTCTGTCATCAGCACCCAACAAGAGATATCCAATTTCTTCTTCCGATATTCAATAAGTTGTCAGAAGCATTAAGAAGAAATAGATTATAAAAATTAAAAATTGATAAATAGCGAATATTAACGGTATGTCATATTAAATTTACGGTTTTAAGTCATGACAGTGGATTACTGTAATTAATGATTTTGCAGAAAAAAAAATTCGATTTTTGCACATTTTCCTTCTTCAAATACCCGGAACTATAAAACAAGTTTCTCAAAAAAATCCTACAATTCTGAACATTTCAGCGAATGCGCATATCACTATTTAATGCACAAGGTTACGGTAGAATACGTTTCTGTTTTGGCTGAAAAACTTCCTGTTATGGTGGGCCAACAACAATAAAAGGGCAAACAATTAATTAGATTCGGAGAGGGTGAGCGCAGGTTGCATACAAATCGGAAGTGAAATAATATGATAAGATCAATGAGCATTAACAAACCACCACGATAAATCCTTTAAATCAAAATATTGCTTTTTGGATCAAATTTCAGTGTCGATGAAATTGCCAAATAAGGAGTAATCGCAAAGCAATTGAATTGTGCTCTGTTTATTGAAAAACAATGAAAATGCATGTGTTAAAATTGTTAATACTTCAAAAGTTGTCCTAATGAAAAACAAATCTGAATGGAATGCGATGAGAAACCGAAGATGATCATAATATATTTGTACATACCGCATTCGACATGCACACAACGAAAAACGGTTAATTTTTAATAAATGGGAAATATAGAAATAGTAATGAAGTGATTGATGATTAATGAATTGAGTGCGCATGTGAAAAATGCAATTGACAAAAACATGCGAACCTCGAGCACTATTCTTTTACACATTTAGATTTGTAAATGAACTAATATTAGTATGGCTTCGGATTAATAAAACGTGAAGAATCTGACATGCGAAATGGGATCAAATTATATTCGAACCCCCCAAGTCGCTGAAAGGTCGTTAATGAAAAATTGTGTTTTGAATTTCACCTCACGTTGACCGCGTGATAAATGATATCACATAGCAAAAACACACATAAAAATTTGTATTGTTGGAAGAACTCCGTCATTAAATCTGAAAGATCAATCATCAGAACGTTGGTAGTTCTCTGAAATGATGCGTATTGATGACATAAGACAAAGCGCCTTGTTTTATTTTTACAGAAAGCAAATGAACGCATTTTTCATTTGTGGGAAGATTGATAAGAAACATTTCATTTTTTTTTTCAATTTTCCGGTGAAATTTTTCATTTTAGCCGATATTTCTAAACAGATTTTGAAAAAACGTTACGAGGAATGAAAATTTCTGTCGTTTCTAAAGGAAATTCAACTTTAAAGTAAAATTATTATTTTTTAATTGGTGCAAATATTAGATTATCAATTTTCAACAAAAAATTATTTTCTCCTCAGGCAAATCAAATAAAATATTTTGAGAATCAAATATTCAGTGATAAACTCTAAAATATTTTGAGAAATTCTAAAGTCTATTGATACTTTCTAAAACTTATTGAGAATCAATAAATTTTAAAAATTTGGAATTTGTAAATTAAATCTTTTGAGAAAGTTAAATCTTTTGAGAAAGTGAAAAGTATCTCAATATATTGTGAGACTTTAAAATTTGAATAGGGCCCTTATGACTTCCACTGACGCAATTTGCGGCGTCTCTTTTTAAGATCTTCTAAATTCCAATCAATAATTTATGTTTTTGATGTTTCTTCCGTTTTTTTTTTCTTTTTGTAATAGTTTCTTCACTTCAGTGATGGACGTATTCATGAAATGCAAGTTTTTATAATAAATGTTTAACACTACCTTAAATCTGCATTGTTTTACATGCTGAATTTGAAACAGTTGTGTCTAAACATGTCATTGCATGAACAGGTTCATGAATTTTAAAAATACGCACAATTATTACAATTAATTACAATTATACTTCAGTTTCTAATGATTTCGATATTTTAGAAGATCGGGAAAAATGTGGAACAAACATTCCAGAAACATTGGCCGATAGATTTAAGGAACGAGGTAAATACAGCAAATTCAATGAGCAGGTGCCCATGTGGATCACGGCCATGGATATTTTCCACCTTTTTCACGAGGGAACACGTATAATAAAAGGTACTTCAATTATGTCTCTCCTTTTTCAGCATTTAAAAATTGAAGATTGTCTTTTAGAAGTCTTCGTTAAAAACGAAATAAATATTTTTCGATGCGAAGCTATTGATGTGAAAGCGAGACTGCCATCTTCGGTAAAGTCGCTATCAGGAAAATTCAATGACATTAATAGGTCCGAAAAAGCTAGCGTAAGTTAATTTACCACTTGCAATTATCATCCTTTGAAGATTTTTGAAGTGAAAATTGTTTCTAACGCCATGATCGGAACCATCCCTCCGTTAGGTTCAGCTGTTGTGTTGCTTATACATGCCTGCTACCGATGGATGGTGTCACCGACTCGCTAGTAATATAACAAAGTAATATGGGATCGTTAGCTATGTACATAATAGAAAATTTTTATTTCAGATCGCAGGTATTTGCAAATTATTAGAAATTCTAATTTGAGATGGGGCGCCTCAATTGTTTTCTGGTTCAAAAGTGCACGTAAGTCGTTTTTTTGCAATTTTAAGAGTTATTGAACGTTGTAGCATCATGCTATTGTCGTTGATATAAGAAATAATACTAATGATTACTGTATTTATTGTTTCAGCAACTTATATACCATTTGTACAGTAATGTCATGGTCAGCTGTCGGCAATAAGCACGCAAGCGCATGAGCACATTTATCACGTTATCAAGAGAAACATGTGCTCGGAACAGACAAACGGGATTGGATATAGTATTTTGAGAAAGTTAGACTCATTCAGTTATTTTTTAAAACTGGCAATTTTCAGCTATAAACTATATCACGAGATTGTGACTTCATTGAAAATTCGTTTCAACGCGAATCCGGATTTAATTAAGAAGTCATTTTATCGCAAAGAACTCATGAAATTAATCGAAAAACGACAAATTCAATCATCAAAATTTGTAAGTTCAACATTTTCTTTCAGTATATGCAACGAACTCCTTATAGCAACGTTGTGCGTCATTCGCAGAAAAAGGAGAAAATGCGAAAAGAATAAATTGATTCATTTTTTTTTTTCTGATTTTTATTATTAATATATTCATTTCGCATTAATATTGTAATAAATGAAATGTTCATACATATTCAATTATTATGGATGTTATTACATTCTATTTGTGTGAAAATTGCTCGATAACGTATGATATTACATAATATTGGACAGAGTTTATTGAATTTATTGATATATTCTAAAGTTTATTGAGACAAATCTAAAACTTATTGATAAACTTTAAAGTTTATTGTGACAAATCTAAAACTTATTGATAAACTTTAAAGTTTATTGAGACAAATCTAAAACTTATTGATAAACTTTAAAGTCTCACAATATTCATTGAAACTTATTGATAAATTCTAAAATCTTATGAGATTTCCTAAAGTTTATTGAGACAAATCTAAAATATTATAGAGACACGTTAGCCTCTCAACGAACCTCATAAGATTTTAGAATTGTCTCAAAATATTTTTTTTCATTTGCCTGAGTCTGATTTTTTTTGACCCCAACAAAGTTTGTTACTTAAAATGTGCACATAAACTATTTATAGAAAAGGGAACGAATGTCACTCGATTGGATCGATTCTAGCAATGAAAATAATCTGAAAAATTACACAATTTTTCAATTTAGGATTTTAAAAAATCCAAATTCGGTGTGATTTTCTACATTTTTTATTAAAAATAAATATATTACATAAATAGATCAATATGTTATCATCAGTTATAATAATAATAATAATAATAATAATAATAATAATAATAACAATAGTGGTAATAATTTGCATTTCTTAATATGATACCATTATCTCTATTCGCACATTTGTATTTTGGAGGCTCAATCCTTTTAGCTGTATCATAAATTAAACGCGTTTTACTTTTTGATGGTCCATAGCGTGATATTTTTAGTTTAAAATTCCCGGAGTAAATTTTCTGAAGAAGAAAGTTATATCTTGTTGTAATATTTATTTCGTAAATTCTTTGATGGATAATGTTTTTTTTAGATTTCCTTCACATAGCGCTCAAAAAAAATTTATTTGACAAATTACTTCACATTATGATAATATTCGGTTAAAAACCTTGTACTGTAAATTATTTTCTCTCGTTGGCAAAGGGGTCTTCGTTGTGTCCAACAGCGCTGAAATTTAGCTCGATTTGCATTACATTGGATGGTTTCAATCTTACAAGTCCTGGAGGAATAGACGAACGTTTTGCTTCGAAGACTCGAGCAGCTTAATATCGTCTTGAGTGAGTTTGAAGTCAAACAGCTTGAAATTTTCCTTGATGCGGTTCTCGTTGACCGACTTTGGAATTATAGCGAAACCGCGATCGAGAGCATATCTCAACAAGACCTGAGCCGGAGTCTTGTTATACTTCTTGCCGAGTGCGAGAACATTGGAATCCTCGAGGTCGGCAGGAGCTGGAGCCCAATCCAACTTTCTAAGAAGATTCGTCATTACTCAAATGAGAAATTAAATATTGTTTTTATTCTTACTGTCCAGTTGGGAGAGTAAAGTTGACTCGCCCCGGACTTCCAAGAGTCGCATAAGAAGTGACGACAATGCCGTTATTTGCGCAAAATTCGGCGTGTTCGTGTTGTGGGAAATACAAGTGGAGCTCCACCTAAAATTTCAAGCGTTTCCGCTGAAAATGCATTGGAATTTATACTTGAGAGTTGTGGATTGGAATTGTAGCTTTTTTCAAAGCTCTTGCAATTTGCTCGTTGTTCCAGTTGGAAACCCCAATTGACTTTGCCAAGCCCAACTCGTAAACCTTCTCGAATCCCGGCCAGATTTGCTCAACGGTGACGTCGTTGAGAGGAGTGCTCATATTGTCCTAAAAATTGGTATTGAAGAAAGCTTTCCAGGAAATTGAAAAATTACAGTGAAAGCAACTGGCATATGAGCCAAGTAGAGATCGACATACTCCAACTTAAGCTTCTTAAGCGATTCGCGAAGAGCACCTTCAATCTTGTTTGGTGGCAATTCGTGACACCAAGCCTGGAATGCAATGCTGCTATTTTCATGATTCTAATTTTTTTTGAAAATTACCTTAGTCGTAATGAAAAGCTCCTCTCTCTTGACAACACCTTCCTTGATGAGCTCCTGGATAGCATCTCCAATTGATTCCTCATTTTGGTAAACGGAAGCAGTGTCGATAAGGCGATATCCAGCCTTCACTGCAACTTTCACGGCATTCTTTACTTCAGCTGGGGCAGACTGAAAATAGATATATTGGAAAATAGATGATTGAGATTTGACAAATTACCTGCCAGGTTCCTAAACCGACAGCAGGCATCTCGACGCCATTCGAAAGCTTAATAACTGGGCCACCGACAGTCATTGTTTCAACTTGAAGAGAATAACTGAAAAAGGATTTACAAAATGCGTGAAATAAATTGTAAGCGAGACGATTTTTTCAAAACCAGAATTGTCGCCGATTTGTCAATGGAGCGCATTTGTCGTGTTAAATAGAAAAATGCAAATTTGCAACAAAAAAACTGTTAGAGAAGAGTAGCAATGTGTTATGCGGGACTTCAGAAAAATATATACTTTTTCACTGAAGTCGGCTGGTTTATGGAATTAGAATTGAATTCGATTTTCAGACATTTTTTAAGAGCAAAAGCGAAAAAGTGAAAGAGTACATATTTGCTAAACGAGTCGCGATACGTTAACTGACTGGTGAAATCGAGAGATTCAATTTATATTACGATCAGCACATTCTCAATGTCAGCAAATTGATAAAAATTTTCGAGAAACACATCAAAACGTAAGACGCAGACTGTTGGCTCCTAGTGTGCAGGCAGAACGATTTGTTCGAGAACAGTGCGAAAAATAATGATGATGACAAATAGCAGACTATACACATTGCCTCGAATGTGGCATATTCGCAACGACGGCACGGTTCTTTTTAACTAGTATTGTTGTTGTATTTGGATTAGCGGTTGAGATAAATAATATTAGTAATGTGGGAATATCGCCTAGGTATTAGTTTACCAATTACACATTTTTCATTAATTGTTTTCTCGGAAACGTGAGAATTTACCTGTTTTGGCAAATATATATGAATATACGATTTAATTTCAAATAATATCATGGCAAAAGAAATGAGAACTCTAGGTTTTGTTGGACCATCACGCATTTTTTAATTCACAATGGGAATTCGTGTAGGGTACTACGGATAACCCTTGAATTAGAAATACGAACATTTTTGAATTTTTGTGACGAGGATGCTCGAATTTTTTTCGAATTTGGAGTATTGGACTTGTAAATCAACAAATACTCTGATTTCACTTGGCATTGATTGAAAAAATCCACATTTCGGTTTTGAATAAAATGAAACTAAAATAAACAAAGTATCTAATTATCGCATTAATCATTTTATTTTTGCTGTTTTCTTTATCCCTGTCCATTTTTTTACTTTGTCTGTTTGAATATTTTATCAATTTTTATTGTTTGGTTCGTTTTGACACTTTTTAAAAAGTAAATATATTCACTCAATTTATTTTATATTCATCGTGATTGATCAGAACTAATTATTATCACATTTGTATTATCACAGAGAAATTTTTAATTGACCAATTAAAATTGATATATTAATTTACGAGATGTATATTTCTTTTTTTTGTCAATCCCTTGGTTGTACAAAGATTTGCATTATTCACGAACTTCGAAAAAAAACATGAATTTTGGTTTCTTTATCTTCAAATTCGAAAAGAGATCAAACTGCGACTTATTTCGAACATGACAATTTTGAAATTATGTATTTTTTTATGTGTACTGGCAATCAAATGTATTAGCTTTCTGAGCCGACATGAATTTGGAATGATATTACTGTGTTATAGCTGATTCACAAAACTAATTAAATTAAGCCAAAGCTGATTCCGGTTTGAAATCAAACATAATATATTAAATATAACAATATAATAAATGAAAATTGGCGCTGTTTACAGTACACCGCATTAAATTGCAAAATCCATCTGAAATTATACTAATTCCTTCTTTGATTAAAGTGCAAAATAATTTACAATCTCGAACTTGTTAGATATGTCGTTCTTGTTAACAAAAAAATTTGCAATGGATTTGCTTTTTTTTAATTGTTTTTTTGAGATGTGGCAAAATAGGATGATCTTCATGAGTCAACCGAGTTTCATCGTTTCCTATTCAAGTTTGATTCATTTCATTCAGCTAAATTTGAATTAGGTCTCGTTGCCCTCAAAAACATGATGACGGTATTTAAACGCCTACTAAAATCTCTATGATAACATTATATTTAAATAATTGAGAATGCAACTTTCAGCTTGAATTATGAGTTTAATAAACATCAAAAAATATGAACTTATGGAAGATTTGTATTATATAAAAATAAAAATAATAAGTCAATGAAATGAGCCAAAAAATAAATTGAAGTTTATCTGGATAACGCAGGGGAAATTGAACTCCTGAAGCAAAGTATACAATGACAGAATTGGAAATTAATTATCAGGAAAGCTTTATTGAGAAAACTTATTACAATAAAAATATTTCAAGACGGGTAAACTTGAATTTGTAAACCTCTTCTACGGCATACATATAATAACCATATCAAATAATTGCTGCGTGTGTAGAATATAATGCAAACCTTCAGTTTTGAAAGGATTCCAGATAAGAATTTGAGTATAATTTAACCCTTCCGATGTTTCGCTGCTTGGATTCAAAAATTCATTTTCAGGTGTCTTAATAAGTTTCGCGAATAATCACCGAAGAACATTCTATTGTATTCTATTCCTCATCCATCCCTGAGTATACTGCCATTTTTTTTAACAAGATTTCTACTCGAATTCAAAAATCTCCTTTTGAAGCTTTTCGTCATTCAATGAAAATAATTAAACATTTCGATTTCATCGGAACAAAATTTGTTAGACGTCACTGGTCGGCCAACAATTCCATGCATAATTTAAAATCTATTTTCGCCGTGACACATCCTTTTTGAAGCTTTCGAAATCGAAATTGGCGTCCGAAAATAGGCTTGGCAAATTGCCATACCTATTTTTCGCGTGGGCTTCCCTCGTCTTTTTTTCATCTCAACTCGTCTACACCAATTCCTGACGTAGTTCTTTTCAACTGATGTTTGGCACGAGTGGTTTTTTTCGCCGCTTTTTTCCCCTTATATGGTAGAAAACAACAGGCAGTTGGATAACTGCTGATTCGATGAAGACGAATAGCCAAAAACACAACAAGAGATAGATAATATGAATTGGAGATATGAATGCATGGAAAAATCACGAATGATAACAACTTTGGGATAATTGAATAATAATAATAAACCGAAGAGAAACGGAAAACATTTGGTAAATGTTTGAACGCATTCAAATCTTTACCGGGTATTGATCAAAGGATCAGATCATTTCGGCATCAGATCTGAATAGTATCTTTAGGAAAGTGGCATTGGAAGAAAATAAATGTTATTGGTGAACGGCAGTAATACCCAAGAACGGTTCTGAAAACACGTGGAACATTCTAGAAGTCTTATCAGATCAAGTTGTTGACAATTTGCCATGGTCTATAGGCAGTTTGCCACCCAAATTTAGTCGTCCAATTAGCAACGAAGTATACTGTACACTACCAGTCTTCTTCAAAAACATTCATTTTCTGACGTGCGATTATCAATTTTCACATTTTCTTGTAGGTATTTTAGAATCTAACATGCTTCATCTTATGAATTTGTCAACAAAAATTCTACCAATTCGATTCTAATTTCTATTTTAGCTTTTGTTTTTTTTTATTATTTTTGACACTTATTTTAAAATATTCAAAACTACCTAAATTCAAGCCATCGTGAATATTTTTGGTTTTTCAATTTCTCACCGAAAGGCTTGCATATGGTGTTGATGAGACTCAAGACCCCTCTCGAATCCAACTATACACATTATTCAGTTGCATTTGCAATAGTTACTCAAATCGAATCATGAGCAGCGAGATTAGGATAAGCACAAACTTTTTTGGTGTTTTTGTCGTAAATATTTTGTCTCATGACTAATTGCTTACTAATTTCGATGAATCAGTCTGAAACATATACGACTTAGTCACCTGCTTTTTTATATGTTTATGAATTGATTATTTGAAATGACGAAAAAAAATGTAGCAATGAACACCGTCATGATTCCAATTATGCAGTTAAAAAAAGAGTGATATTTTCGGGCTTTTTCAGGTAAAATCAGCAGACTATGAATTGCACTTATCGATATTTGAGAGTTTGGCGTATCGGGTGTAATTTCACTTTTCAAATATTTATAAAATAATAGACTTGTATGAGTTCTAACCCTTACTCAAGGAAAAAATGGATGTAGTATGTTTTTAAAATTTTTGAAGAGAATTTGTAAAATTTTCAACTAAAACCCTCATAGAGTTTTACAAGCAATCTGAGAGTTTTTGAAAAAAGTTGCTAATAGATTTTATGTTTCGACAATCAGAGGAAAACTATTTTATGCCACTATTATGTATTTCTAGCTCGATAATAATTTTTGCATTCACTAAAACATGACATGGTTTGAAAACATGTAAAACATGCTCATTCTGTAGAAACGCCCAAAGTTTCCTGATTTATTCTTATATATCAACCAAATGTTTAAAAAATTATGTTACAGGGTGTATTTCTTTAATTTCACTTTAATTTCAGACCAGTTTCCAATCGCTAAATAAGAACTCTTTTCTGCTTTAGTGCGTATCCATTATTATTATTATTACTGCATCACTTTCATAATTGTCCATTAACATTTATCCGGGGCCCATTTGTCTGTCTGCTGACTATTTTTTTCCTCATCTGCACTTTAAAACAATTTCATGTAATAGACAATCCAAAAAAAGAGGCGAATTCGTCACTCGACCAAATTAACTGAATTTCGGGTTGCGTCAAGAAGTCAATGACCCTGAACGTAGAAAGCGATAAGCGATATCTAACCGCGATGGCAAAAAAAGACAAAAGGTCTGTTTTTATGGAAAGTCGAGAAAAATCTGCCCCCCCCTCCCTCCCCTCATCCTTTTCTTCCAACAACCTTGTTTTGATGTTTTATACACGCCGTAAAATTTCAATTAGGCCATAGATTTTTTTAGCAACATGATCATTTCAAGGTCTCAAACCAGCTGACTTTTATATATAATGGTATCGTTAAAAAAGAGAAAAGATGATAAGGACCCACAGATGTGGAAACACGACGAATTGATTTTTGCGAATTACCAATGGCATTGAACAATTTAGAGAAACTTTGCCCCCCGAAACGTATATTTACGTATTTGGTTTTATCCAAATGGTCTTTCATTAATATTTCAATTTTCACAAATGCTTAATCGCTTTTTGATAGCTACACATATTAGACCATCTCCAAAATAATTTCACAATACTTAATATCCCTTGGTTGGATATTTAAAAAGACAAATTAATTAATTGAGCCAGTGGAAAAAAAATTCCAAAATTCGGAAGATATAATCTCATTCTTGCTTGCGTCACTCGACCACAATTGCAAAGCATTATCGGGTTTAATACAGATTTTTTCTTATGTTCGCGATGTTTCTTTGGATTTATTGGATTCCGAGATCTCAAACAAATTAAAAAACTAAAACATCAATTAACAAATAGTAGTTGTCATCATCAAATGCACAATTCATTTCGATAATTCCTCTTTTTAGATAATACGAGAATAAAATTGAAATGCGATTTGATGTCCAAACGGACATCCCACTATTCACGAAGATTCGCAAAAAGCACAGAGTGATTAGACCGTCTGACGTAAAACAGTCTTATGATGTAATTATATCCGAAAAGTAGAATTCTCTCGACACGTGCTTACTGAGTCTGTCTGGCAATTGCAGAATACAATTAAAGAAAGGAACGCCGGTCGACTTCGATATAGATTATAAAGAATCACAGAAAATCAAAACGATATGTTTTAGATTAAAGAGCCATTCGCCTAACTTGAGAATTTAATTATTGAAAGGACACATATTTTATTATTTACAAAAATCTCATGATCCATCAACTATACATTTAATCCATTAAAATTTCAAGATTAAAATTTTAATACTCCTGATGGTCACTCTAATATTATTAAAACATTTTGGTCAATGAACAAAATCCTCTTTTTTTAATTAAATTTCCCACTATTAACATTTTCATAATTAATTCTCACGCCTATTCGTTTTTATTTTCTCATCGAGGAGGTTCTCGTTTAAATATTTCTGAATTTTTGAACATAGACGGCTAGACAAGTTCAAATAGATTAACGCACTTTCACCTACTGTAATCGAATTTGCTCAAATTCTGTCAGGAGACCAGACCGTCTGGGTGCGCACAAACTCTGAACGGCTTATGATTTCACACCTCAGCGATCTGTCTGGGTGGGCGATAATTAATGTGCATTAGAACGCATAAAAGAAATTAGAACACATATGTCTATTTTTGGCACCTCAACAGATGACGGGAAAAAAAACCGACAAGTCGTAATCGTTTTGGTCTCTAGTAGTGCATATGCCCTGATATTTAAGAATAATTCAATCACAGTTTGGTTCCAACTATTAGTGTTATTGTTTATTTAAGATTTGTTTTGTTTAAGCATAGAGCAATATCAATAATGTTAATATATGCGGTCTTCGGAAGAATTGATTCAGCAGCGTTTAACTTATAATTGTAAAGTTGATTTAACGAGTACAACAACATTGACGAAACCCGTAGATTACGGTGCCAAGCACATACTACGTTTTTATTTCAATTAATCGCATTCGGTACAATAATATACATACGTGTTTCGTCAGTATAGGAAAGAAAAGGGCTACATATAAAAAAAACAATCCAAATAAACATGAGATCAATGATAAATGACAATGGGTTATTATGTACGGTTATTAACGGATGGGTTTTTGTACTCAGCGTTTGACATAAGACAATGGCACAGTATACTGTTGAATGAAATACAATGAAGAATTCGGTAGGCTATAAGATCAATTGTATTTAAAACTTCTAAAGGGGGATAATCACAGTGTTAATATTCCAAAAAATTCTAAATAATGCGTTAGTATTATAATGGCAATGAGAGAAGAGGCCCAATGTTTGATGGGTTCCGATGTCAAGTGGTCCACTCCTTATGGACGAGACAGACGGCTGACAGTCGGTCAACAAAACTAAGTGGTCCTTCCCAATTGCCATTGACTTGATACTGTACATTGAATAGTCTCCCGCTGCTATTATTCGATGGATGGCTGAAATTCGATTAATTAAGGTTGATGAATACGACATGAGAATGGATTACCGTAACAGTTGTTGTGGCATCTTCTAATGCTGTCGGGTAGAAGAACACTTCTATTCGGTCTTCCCCGTATTCGTTTGAAGCCACACACGTGTACATTCCCATATTTTTCCAATCGTTATTTTTGATCACGAGGTCGCCATTTGAAAGTACCTAAAGCTCGATGATAATCATTGAGATCAACTAAATTCAATCTGGTACCTCGAAGTTTTCTTTGTTGTTTAAGAGCTCGCGCTTGTCGTTGTACCAAGCAATTGTATCCAATAATGAGTTCGTTCTACATAAGAGTTGAGCAGCATTTTTCTCGTTTTCGAACCGAGCATCGGACCATTCTACAATCTTTGGTCCCGATGGTTCCTTCTCTTGACACTTTCCTTCACATTGGCCAACTGAAAATGTCGGAATAACGACATAGAACTGCGTGTGTTTGACCTACCAACTATGACCTCAATAGAACGTTCAATTCTGCCGTGTCCATTAGTGGCAACACATTTGTATACACCCGCATGATTTGCTTCCGCACATGGGACCACTATTCTTGAAATAGTGATTCCATTCTGAACCGTCGTTTTGCCAACATTGTGGAGTTTTTCGTAGAGATTTGGTCTCGCGTCTCCTTGAACGACATTGCCGTCCAGTTTCCAATGGAACACTGGTGGCGGGCTGCCAGCAGCTTCACATTTCAATTCAAATGAATCTCCCGCCTTGACTTCGACACTTTCCGGCACCGAATCGCCAGAAAATTTGATGAACATTGGAGTTTGAATTTCGTTTTCATCGAGTTCGGCGTTCAGTTTCGCCATACTCTGACGTTGCTAAAGGGCGAATATTGGGAAATGATGATGATGATATGATTGTACCTTGGTTGGATGCGCGATGGCAAGCATCAGATTGAATAGAATTGCGATGAGTTGATTCTGCATGTCGTACGTTCCGTCGAGCCACCGAGCAAAGGAATATGAAATATTTTCGCGCAGCCGACGCTTTGTTAATGGGAGGGGCGGGGTCGAAAGGCGGAGCTACCAAGAGGATATCAATTCGCGCAATAGAACCAAGACGGAGAAGAAAAAGAAAGGGAGTTTTTCATCTCGGAATCCCGATTAAGACAAAACTGCTTAGCTAACCTAATTATGCGATTGATAAGATAAGGATGATGGTATATCTAACTTGTTGGTAACTGGTTGAATAGAAATCTGGGTCACTAGACTAAGAATGAAGGCCATTGATCAGATTGTCTCCAAATAAAACACATTTACGAATTTGTGTGAATTTAACAAAAAATGGCTAGGCATTTTTGAGGTGATGATTAATTGAAAAAATCAAGTTCGAGGAAAATAAAACAAGCCTCGTGAAGCTTGTTGAAAAATCTTTGGGGGCGGTGGGGGCGGTTGGCTACCTGTTTCTGCAATACGTTTCCCAAAATTTTCTCACATTTCCCTTTTTTGCACTATTCATTGTTGGGAAACTACAATGTATCCAACTGTGATAAAAAATATTGCTTGTTTTTTATAATGATTCCAAAAATCCTAAATTTGATCTAATCTTATGTGACTATAACTAAATGAATATTAAAAAAAGCAAGTTATTTCTGGGCCACCGTTTACCTAAAGATCGGCAAGCAATGACGCCGAGAGATCAAGATCTGAAACTTACCTGAAATAGAATCAAGCCTTCTAAGTGCCGGAAACAAGTTTTTATTAAGCACGCGTAAAAACTTCTATTTTTGCTTCGACCAACATACCTATTTATAGGAATGTTATTCATTCAAAAATTTTGCTTCATTTCAAATTTCAATAAAATTTTTAACAATTTGTAGAATTTTCCAAGTATTTCCAATCGGTCATCACACAATTTTATGATATTGGTTTTTACTAGTTCAAGACGTTGCTGTAAGAGATATTAGGTGATTTGGTGTCAACGTTCTAGCTTTTCTCTAGATAAAAGTGCACTACCATATATTAAAGTAGGAAGCTCATCAATTTGAAAGAATCTCATGTACTTTATTGGGATATACCAATGATCCGTTTCAGTTCGTTAATGGGAGAAGGTATTTAACGCTTTTTGGTTTATAACAAAAACTAATCTGCGATTTATTTATGATCATATATCATGTGTTCAAAAACACTCTGAAAAATAAGTGATGGAATACCGCTACTCAGAATTCTTATGTGATCTCTAATTCATGTTTTTTTGCTTGCATCGCCTGCTCAAGATCTGGAATTCCTGTCTGACTTAATCGTAACGGAAGTCGTGACTTGGCTGCTATTAAAAAACAATTCAAAAAATTGTTTTCAAGTCACGCTTCTTTTTTCAAGCTGCTTAAAAATTTTCAAAAGCACTCGCACTATTCGACCCGACTTTTGCGAAACCAGGCAAGTGCTAGTGCACTTTCAGTAATCGGACATTCAATAGTGACTGGAAACTGGTTAGAATTCAGTTTGACGGGAAAATGTTGGACTAAAAATTAAAGATTATATCCGAGTTCCAGGGGATTGAAGTCCATTTCATAAGCTTATTGAACAGTTAAAAATAAAAAATACGAAAATTCAGAGAAGGCTCTAAGAACTAACGTACTCTAAGCTAAAAATTTAAATTGAATTGCTCTTTAATTTTACCACAAAGGCAAACAATCACGTCAACCTTTTTTGAAAATAGCTTATGACCTAATGATGATTCAAATTGCTTCTTGATATTAAAACATCTAATGATGTAGAAAAGAAGTATGTAGTTGAATTCCGCGTTTCGTTTCGATATTAATAAATCTCCAAAAAGGGGTTATTGAAACTCCTCACTGAGAATAATGTTATATTTTTAAAGTGGTGTTAAATTGAAATAATATTGAGCTGAATTCAGCAGTGAAGTCATTTTTTTCAGCCCGAATTCTTTTAATAGGAAAAATTCGATTTATTGAAATTTGAGTAGAGTTTAGTTTCGGCTTAGGAGCATACACTATTGTACCTGGACCAGATTGTTCACAAAATAAGTTTCCTGGATAATATGTTCACTGGTTTCTAGAGTAATACTCAAACCAAGGTTCGGCTTATTTCAAAATTACTAAACCACTAAAAATCTGTTCTAAGACGACACAAGAATGAGATACATGGTTTGTACTCGCAAGAAATCCGCGAGGCGCTTTCATTTGATTCAAGCTCCCGCATGTTCAATTGTTTATGATGTAATAATGCGCATCAACAACACCTTGGAATATGATCATCACAGATCTATTCAGCGTCACATGCTTCAGATTAAAACGAAAACATTGTTTTGCACTTTTAATAAGAAGTTTTGGGATGTTCTTCAGGTTCAATTCCAAACTCATCACTGAAAGAATGTATCAGGTTTTTAACAAATTAGACCTTGCTTACGCAATGACGTGTGCTCACCCGAAGATTTCCGGTTGCACTAAAGAGAGACCTAGATACTCGCATTCTGGGAATACGCGCTTCTACTCCTCGTGATTCGCCAATTTATTTCAAATCTCATCAAAATCACCGGACACGTTTCCCCCACCCATTGAGAGATATTTGATGAACTCCTACAAAGAGACAAAGTGCATATATACCCATCTTACACTTGTTTGCACTAGGAAAAAACGGGTACTGTGGGTAAAGTTATTTGGATCAAATGAGCCTAATTAGGTTTTCGACGTGAGCGAAAAACATGAAATTTTTGGGATATTTTGAATAATCGGCAAACTTCTTGCTTATTATTTTTTGAATATTGAATCGTCTTTTCGTAAACTTTTGGGTCAACTAGTTACGCAATAATTATTCAAGCTGACCTTATGTACATATGTACAGTGACGTTGTAGGCATGCCGCAATGGAATTCAAAAATCTGACGTAATAATGATGAAGGCTGAGTATGAAAGAAGGGGTAATTTCTTCTTTAAAGAAACGGAATAGTTTAAATTTGACACGTTATTATATTGTTCATATGCATACCTTTAATAAATTAGTTGGACACAAGAAAGAAGAAGCTGGATGAAGAATAGAAAGCGGCGTCGGTGAAGATTTTCATAGACACACAAAAGAACTTGATTATTTTTAAAGGAATTTCCTTTGAAAATACATTTCTTTAAATTTTTCAGAACGAAAGTTTTTTGTTGATAAAAACTTTCACAGCTAAATTCCATAAAATTTTTATTACTTCAAAGGGATTTTCAGAAAATTAATGATAATAATAAAAAAAAGTTCATTTGGGTGGATAAATCGTTACGTTTTTGTTTCTCAATGAATTGCACTTTCTAAAAATGGGTTGGGTTTCAGCGACAAAACGAATAGTATTCGCGCTGGAGACCTCCACGCGACTCTTTCTCAACATGATTCGGATTTGACAAAATATACCAGCGGGTAGGAAGTTGAAATTGACGGTTCATTTTTAAGATCATGAGACACATTAAATTCATGAAACCTTGAACCCATTTTGGTATGTTTCCCAACAATCAGATGACTTGCATTATCAGATCGGTCACAAAATGGTCCTCAATGGAATATTATAGTCTTTTGCGGTTGGCAACTATCATGTTTGTCGACTCGGACCACTTCCACTCAAATGTTTGTTTTATTTGGTGCAAATAACAAAAAAAGGCAAAGGTTTTATTAATGCCGATATGGCAAATTGGAATAAGGTTTTTGGGCAAACAAATGATCGCCGGTAACTAAAGCGTCCACCATTTTTTGGGCGAGTGCATCGGGTTGAGGGCACCCGAAATATGCAAATAAGACCATACCCGAGTGGCCCACTATTATTATTTCTCTGTTGTATTTTGTCTCAACTCTGACCCAAAATGTTCGAGAAATGAGGGGATCTTGGTTGTCTAGTCATCAAACCGAAATAAGAATTCGTCAACCATTTGTTTGTGTTCCTAGAAAGAGAATTACAATGAAGCATAATCAGCTATAGAAACGGTATTAGTCATATCAGGTAAATGTGTAAGTGAAAATTGAGGCAACATTATTCAAACTAGAACATAAGGAAATGTAATCACTCTACAACGGCTAGAATAGGATGTTTTGCTGATGTCGACATTTTTATATGATTTGGTCAAAGCGCGTTTCAAGACCAGACGGTTTAGTTGAATAATTACACCTAAACTGCATAAAAGAAATTTCGGATTTGAGCTTCAATAAAAAAAAAATACGTATTTTGTGACTTTTGATACCTAACATCTGCCTACGTAATATTACTTCCCAATTATAATTAGGTTGATGCGTGTAAGCATCAAACAAGCAACGACGTAGATTCGAAGGTTAGCACCGAAGTTGGAGAAAATTTCGTAAATATAGGAAATTAGTTACGTAGTCAAACTCAAACATCTATTGCACTTTATATCAGTATTTCATCTGGTGGGTTGATTGATAGCATTTACCGAACGGAAAATGCAGAAGTATGCTCTAAATTGGAATTCCATTACAATTTCGCTTCATTTCTTTTAGTGGGAAAAAAGCAATTTTGAGAATTATTTAATTTTTCGGTGTATTGAAGATTCTAAGTATTTTCTTGCTTTGAAATGCAAACTGTTTTTTGTATAGATCACAATGTTTTTCTATAAGCTTGGACCAATTTTTGGAATTAAAATAAAATATAGGCTTTGGTTTTGAGGGGGAGACCAGAAAAGCCATGCTACCGACTGACACTAGCGTTTTTAAGTATAAACTTGTGATTTAAAAGAACCTCGTAAACAATGGAAAATAGCGGCTGACAATGTAAGTTGTAAAAACAAAAAAATTGAGTCAGGAAAACAAAAAATCATTTGCCGTACCAGTTGGCACACAATAACATTTGACATCTCCTAGATCGATCAGGATGTATCGGATGTGTCGGATTTTCAAATTGAATCATCACTCTAATCCAATGGATTGATCTACGCTTATCAGTTTGACACGCCCTAAAAGAGCTGCAATAAGCTTTGCAAAAAAATTTATGTCGGCCACAAATTCACTCGAACTATCGTTTTGCCACAGTATACTTCATGAATGCAGCAAAATAACATATTATCCGTTGTACAATCATTTGTTTCGCAATACTTAGCGAATATGTATTCATCGGCATTGAGGGATACCGGCATGTTTCATCATACAACTAGTGATTCACTCAGGAATTTGATTAATTCAAATTATGTTGGTTATAGTGCTGTGATAACATCGTATCCCTTTTTTCAACTGTTCGCTCATCATTTGCGCGGCGTTTCGAATCCACTTTGTCTAAAAGGGATCACACCGCAAAGTTTAAATGAATGGTCAATGAACGGTAGTCATATGGTAGTGCAGTATTTTTAGGGAACACCACTGAAACTGATCGATGTGTTTTGACAGAATGAGGAAGATGTTGCAAACTTTGTGATTTTGTAAATTAAATGAAAGGGAAAAAATAGCGCCTGATAGGAAGGACAATCTAAATATCATTGTATCGATCTGTGAATTTGGAAACAGAAAATACATTCAACGGTTATGAAATATTAACATCTAAAAATTTATTTTTGAAAAATTTGAAATTAGTTTTTTTTTCTTCCAATTTTGGGTCGTTAATGCAAAAATGTAAGTTGCAAAAACATGAAGCGTAAAATTTTTGAATTTGTTTTAATTCCCTAATATTCTTTGTCATTCAAATATATTCTATTAATTTCACTGTTTCTGATTTCCTGCTGCTCACATGGATAAATGAGGCGTGGTTCATCGTTTGAAAAGTTTTTCATACCAGGCAACCAAAAATTGGAGCAATTTTCTGCTCACAAAATTTTACTTAAATTAACTATGAAACGAGAGTCAGACATTTTATACGACGTCTATCATAATATTTGAACTCTCACCAACAGTTTGTTGAATTTAAACAATACTATCAAAAATTAACTTCAAAACCTATCGGGTGAGTACGAAATATGATGTCATGGCTATGATTAAACACCTTCCACAATGTATCGTACCACATACTAACGTTCATTTGTCCAAGATATAATCAATGATGTTAGATCTCAAAATTCAACACATACATCGATTTCAGAAATTCTCATAGCATGTTTGATGTGTGATCAAAGCTTCATCGAGATTTCGTCTATTTCATCAAAAGTGATGGAACACGTTTTAATTGGAATTCGGCAAACAATATTCTATCATAGTTTGCAGGAATGATAAGATTGCTCGGATCACCGCACAAAGTGCGGCTTTTCTTTGTACCCTTTGAATCGTATGATGGATTGATTTTCTGTTGTATGGAATTGGAATTGCTAAGCTACAATATAATGTCTTATTTAATATTTAGAGCAGTATAAACACAGTTAAAAATAATGTGATTTTTGAAGATATTTTATTTCAGTATAAAGTGTACTTTGTAATCGATGGCTTCTTATCATAATATTTGAATGTTACCAAGTAGATTTGCGGACTCCAAATGCATTTTGCAAAATGCATCCTATATAGCATTCAAATCAGCTTAGCCTTGAGTACTTTGGAGCTATTTATAGTTCGGATTCATATAAAATATCAAGCAATCATCCGTTTTTAGATTTAGTGAAGGCGGTGGGAAGGGTGTTAAATCAAACACTAATCCACTGGAATTAATTGACTCTAATATTAGAAAAGCTATAACGGACATCCTCTCCAAATGTTTTTACGAAAATCGGGGGATCAAGTTGAATGAAAAATTTTGGAATATATTTTTAATAGATTAAAAAAATTACTAGAGCTTGAGGGTAAATTCTTACTGAAATTGAACTTTTGATACCCAATTTTCTATTAATTTAGTAGATGTTGATATTGTATCCAGCTTGTTTCTTCAGCTATCATATTTGCTGTAGCAGTTGGTATAACGCTCAACAACTGCATGAAGTGCCGGGATCAGCGATCACGAGACAAAACACTTTAAACTAATAAAATGTGGTCAATATCTTATGGAAAAAATGTGTATTTAATCACACTTTTAATAGGGGTTCCATGCGGGAGAAAATTTGACCGCTCGTGACCGCTCGCTGCCATACTTACTAGTTCATTTCAAATACACAGGAGAATGTGAAAAAGCCGATGTGAAAGAAAAGTGAATATAAACATTATTATTATTAACGTAAAAATAACTAATCATTAATTTTTCGATGATAAACGGGTCCAAAATTGGGTTCTCCGATGATTGTAAATTCTACTCTTGTTAGGTTAGAGAAAGAACACTCACATAACTCGTTACTGCTGATTATTCCAAAAGTATTTAATTCTTTATGAATTTTTCTGCGGACGTGTTCATCTGTCCTAATTTTTTCACCACCGCTGCTGAAAGGCGGCTCAAAGACGGGCGGGTGTCGGTCACCACCATTGTCATCCGCGTTGAAACCTTTCCCAGTAGTAAGCTGTAGCAGTTCATTAAATTTCTAGAGTTGCAATTTATTACAGTTAAAAAAAACATCCGGTATAAATAAAATTGTTTTTAAAACATCCGAGATATTATAAATTAAACCCTTCAATTAAACAAATTCTGATGTTCGTTTCTTTTTTTGAAAAGTTTATGATCGTAATTTTATATCTTTCATTCATTTCTAGAAAGCTTTGAAAATATTTGGTGGTTTATAACGATCATAAATTTTGTTCGGAGTTTGTTCGGAGTGTTTCCAGAGACTACGTCTTGAAACTAAATAAAACTTTCTCGTTTTTCAAATTGCAAAGTCTACAAACATTAGTGGTTTCTGTAAATATTGCTAATAATAAAAATATTTGTAATTTCACTTTTATAATGATTCCATATTACTCAATACTATCGAAAGAAAATTTGGATTTCAGAGCCTTCGTAGTTTTGTTTTCTATTTTATAATAACACGACTTGCTTGATACTAGACAGGCGCCCTTTTAGAATCAGCTGCCAATACATATCTGAATCACCACAATGGAATAATGTGACTACATAATATACATGACCTTTAACGTTTTTTTTTGCAATTTTTGCAAATCAACAATGAAAACTTTATCCAAAGAACAATCACACAGTTGAAATAGGCTAATTCGCATCTTTGAGCTTGGGGGATAATCCACAGCGGACCTTCCTAAATGGCCTGCTTCTCGTATTGCAGACGCATTCGCTGGGATCGTGCCGCAATTTCGTTCTCCATTGCCCCAATGAGCTTCTCAAAGCGCGCCATTTCCTCGACGGCGCGGGCATCTGAAATAAATTTTAGTGGAAATATAATTGTGATGGCTCCATACCTTCAACCTCTTCAGGTGGTGAAACCATGTTGGCTCGTTTTCCAAATCGCATTCCTGGAAAGTCCAATGATACTCAATACTCAACATTGTTTTCTATTCCCACCTTGATGGCACCCGATGCATTCGCAGCATTCAATCGTCATTTTTCCCTGGCAAACGTAGTCGCATTGCGCATTCCTTTTGCTGGCGCTAACCGCAACCACCGCAATGCCAATGATGAAAATAATCTCTTTGACTCCGAACATTATTGTATTACCTGAACTGAACAAGTTTGGTTAAGTGAGAAATTGTTAATGAAAATCGAAGAAAAGGACCAATACGAAATGAAAGTGAACTCGGAACTTCGAGTTTTAATCTAAGGAAGATGTGGGCGTGTCCTAAGCCACCATTTGTGGATTACCACAAGCTTTTGCTCATTCTTTCTTACTTCCTCTAACGACGTGAAATTCATCAAAAGATGTCAAGAGAAACGAAAACTGAATGTATAGTAGCACGATATATGTGACTTTTTGTCGCTAGTGAGCCGCCTTTTATGGATACTCGACCGAGCAGGTGAAACTTGATTAACAAGCATTCTATTGAATAGCAATGAATTCACCTGCAGCTTCACCGATTTTCTAAACACCTTGGCTATATGGCATTAGGAAATATGCTTTTGACTTAAATGACGAAAATCGGAAAATTCTAGAAAATTTGGTTGACTCAACGCAAATGGGTCCTTGATAATGAAAATGGTAAACGAGCAAGCGAACTTTGTGAATGGAAAATTTCATTAAAAATGGACGAATTCGTTTTGAGTTGCAACGGTCAACAAAAACTAATTGTCGAAAAGAAATGTGGTCTTTTATGGTCTTTCTTGAAATTCACACATGAATTAAACATAATTTCGATATATATAAGGTTTCAACATCAATTAAAATTTTTTAGTCTAAATTACAAAATGTTCACATACATTTTAACCTCTTGGCTCCGTCACACCCTTCCAATGAATACACTCTCTGATGTTAATCACTATGCTAATTGTATTCATACATTTGAAAAGAATTGTTGAAAAAAATCACGTTTTAGATGACGTGAGTTTTACGTCAAGTAAAGCCTATGCTTTGTTTCATCATATTCATAAAAAAATACAAGTTTCATTATAAATATACATTTGTTACCAGGTTTCCTGATTATTCATGTTGATTCATACATGTGAATATTTTATAAATCGTCTGAAAAACCAGATTGTTCCAGATGTAGTTTGTTTTGATCCATTATGTCGATTCTTACACGTCACAGGTGATTTCAAAGAATTCTATGCAATCACCTTGACATTGTTGAAGGTGACAATAGCAGTTCACTAATATTTTTCAGCAATCATACAGAATACGTAATCACCAAAAAATCAACGATGTTCGGAGAAGAAGTTTCATAACGTAGCGTCAACTATGAGACTAAGAAATGAAATGTGCAAGCTATAAAGTTCCCGCTTGGTTCTATAAAAGTTTACTTTAAAAAATGATATATGGGTGGGTAGAGAAAACGAATTGCAACAGAAAAATTTGAAGATCCGTGGACTCATTTTTTCAAACAATTTGAAGCAAATTATTCTAATTTAGTCTATATAATTAAGTCTATCTGTCTACAAATATGACGAACATTGACAAAATTTTATAAAAAGTAAAATATGTTATTGTTGCAATCCGTTTGAAGTTGATAAATAGAACTACAAAACAGGCGTATTCCTTTAAACACATCATGCTTGAGCCACTGCCATTGTTCTCTTCATGGATTAATAGATTAATTGTTAGTAGGTCTTCTTTTATGACGAATTCCAATGTTTCAATAAGTTCAGCCGCAAAAACCTCAATCATCGATGTTTATATCGTCAATATTAAAATGAAAATTAGTGGGTAATTACACAAATAATGCACAACAAATAGTAAAAATGTAAGAAAAACACAACTTGTCGTTCACAACATTTTGATTCACAATCATCCTGTAGAACATTCTAAGTGTTCATTGTCAACTGAAGAAAAGAATGAAGTTCAGGACGATGGAGAGAATTTGATAAAGAATTGGATTGAATCAATTATTTAATATTATTATTTTGAGTCTCTCTGTGTTTTTATAGGATCAAACGTTTCGCAGCAATAGGTTCCTGAAAAATTAATAAATAACAAGAATTAAATACCAAGTCTCCATACTTGCATTCGATAATTCGCTCAATGACACAACTTGTAGTCATGCCGCTTTCAGAATCTACTGTAGTATAGATACCACGGCGTTTTGACTCAGCATAGAGGTCATCCTTCTCTAGATATTCTGATTCAACAGTTCCTTCAGCGACAATCTGAAAAACTATAAGGAATTCTTCTTGAATCCAATGGAAACCTTAATTTTAAAGCGATTCAGCAAATCAGCATGTATAACTGTTGGAGCACCAATGAGCACTTCATCGACCGGCTAAAAACTGATCGATAGTACATATTTATCAAGTTTTTTTTATTCATGGCATTTTTGATAAATTACCAGATTTCATAATCAAAATATTTTCAAACTCCTTTAAATGAACTGTGATTCGTTAGTATTTTACGCGTTCGGCATTAATTTTTTTTAGTGCGAAGTGACGTACCCGCATTTAAGCAGATGAAAATAACTGATAATGTTTAATACCATTTTGTTTCGGATTTTCTTAAAAAATATAACGCGGAACTAAAATGAAGTAAATATCAAATGTGCATATTTCAGACGAATACGTACTCAAAAAAATAATGTTATCTGGAATTTTTGAAAAAAAAAAAACAATACTTGAGATATTATATATCAACTTACTTTATACGCCAAGACACCGAGAACGCGTTCACGCAAGTTCATAATTGGGTAGTTGCCACCTTTATTCTTGTTCACTTCCTATAATTTTCTTTTTGATTGAAAAAAAAATTATCAATTCAACCTCATCACCAAAGACACCAACTATAAGGTAATCTCCAAGTTTTTTAGCCTCTTCTAGAAATTCCAAATGACCAACGTGGAATAAATCAAAAGCTCCGCATACATAAACTACCTGAAACTCTCGTAGATCAAAATTGAAATTTATTTCCGTATGTGCTCAATTTATCAATGCTGCTCATTTGAGCAATCCATTTTGTCTTTAGATTTGCCCACCTTGTCGGTTGGTCTTGGCTCACGACCCTCAGCAAGTTCTTGAATTTGCTTTGTTGATGAAATGAATCGGGAAACACGAGTCCATGGCGAGCGAACCCCGCTGTCCTAAAAATTGTGTGATTTTTTTTTTCAATTTTCGCATTCGACATTTCCAATCAGAATGTTTTATACAATAGAATGCAAAGACGTCGTTGGTCTTATGTATTGAAATGGGTCACGATAAAATAAAGGCGCAATTATTCATCCACCACATTCATCCAATAGTACTATATTTTTTATAAACATTTATAAAATGCAAAATATACTTACCATACTAAGCTCTTTGATTTTTGCTTTCAACTCGTCGATATCGTTATCCTTCATAAAATGAGTTTTGGTGCTTTGAAGAATTCTTGAAACAAAATCCTGAATGTGGCAAATAAAAAAAAATTTATATGTTTAGCATACAGCAGAAGAAACTACATTGGTATGTTTACCCTCACGATAGCGGCCTGATTTCCTAACTTCTTCATACGTATCTTTACCGTCATCGAATTGAGTGGTATTGTCTGAAAACGTGGATTTAAACAAAGTTGCAGGACGTATACCTCCGGGCACGCAAAAGTCGCAATCAAGCTGATTCAAAATTGCCACACTAGTAATATATGGAGCATCTTCAACAACCTGAAAGTTTTTTAAATAAATTATTGTGTATCATTAGGATTTCAAAATTGATCAACCTCGTCTACCCATTTAATCGCTGATACCATTCGATAACGATCTTCTTCTTCAAAAACTGTCAATCCGTTATTCAATTCAATCTGAAAAAAATCTTCAATTATACTTGTAAATATAATAATATCACCTCTTCATCATTATAAACGCCCACGATTAATTTTTTGCCAAATTGCTTGGCGAAACGCAATTGGCTTGCATGTCCGTAGTGAAGTAAGTCATAGCTGTAATAAACAAATTTTTGAAATTTATAGCCAAAGAAATGCTTTAAACCATCCATCAGTCCAGACTCGACTTCCCTTTTTTCTACCATCGGGCGCTAGATCCGTCATTCCTGCAAAAATATCCGTAAAATGCAATTCACTATGGGAAATAAAATAGGCGAATGTCAACACATAAATTTGCAGAGGTTTTTGTAATACGAGAGGAAGCAAGCAGGTGGCGGTAACTGAAGAGCAAGAGCACCTAGAAAAAAGAAGTCGGTGTAATATTCACCACCGAGATGAGCATCACTTGAGCACCTGACAGAATTGTTTTTCAGTGATTTTGAAAGCCTTACTATGTTATAACCAGGCAAAAGTACAAAGGTTCAAAATGTGCAAAATGAAGAATTTCGTCGTTGGGAAAAATCATTTGGTGATCCGTAATTGTTCAATACCACATGTTTTGAATTTCATGAGAATCGTGGTATCCCATTCTCAACAGAGAAATGAACGAAAAGAATTTTTTTCGTTCAATCTACACAGTTCTTCTTTTAGTCAATTTTAATAGTAAATAAAACATATTTATTAACAATGAAATATTTTATAGATGGTATATATACGATAAGATAATACAATTTGATTACAACTAAATAAACTAATAATTTGACGTTTCGCATAAAAGTTACATTAGAAAATTTTATGACGGCCACGAAAATATTCCATACATGTTTAATTGTGCACAATGGAAAAATACTACAATCCATCATGAAATGGTATTTTTATAATTTTTACAAACTCCATTATCATGGGATCTGTAAAATATATTTTTTTTAATCACTGGTTCTGTATTTTACATATTATATCATAGCCAATGAATCATTAATGTATAGAGTATAGTACATAAATGAATGGCAAATAGGAACAAAACTTATAAACAATCAACTTATTTCCTGATAGATCGGCTACATACGTAGATCCTGTTTTCTCCAGTTTTCACAAGTTCGCTGTCCTTTTTGTGAATTGTTAAACATACTATATTATACTTGAAATCGGGGGGGGGGGATTGAGTTAAGCTGGTCGACAATATTTAGATGAGCAACGCGAAAAACCTTTCAAGATTATCCTTTATTTACAACGTGCATAGTTGTTAGATATCTAAAAAATGTTACAATGATCTATGAAGCTTTGGATTTATTCAAAAAGCAATGTGAATCGCCAAATCCTGTTTTGCATGTATATATGAAAATTTGCAATGAAATTGGGGATCTGAAAAAATGAAAGTTTCTATATTTTTTTATAATGAGTATATTCTTGATGACAAGAGTTTTCGGCATTCCTACTTCATTTTTTTCAAAAAGGCGAATCGATATTATTGATCTTTATGTTAATTAAAATTTCAAGTTTTATTGATTGTAGATTTTAATCAAATAGTCTTCACCAAGACTCTAACTGCAAATTCAACTTCTTAAATCATTTTGTGGTCCAATGCCTTTTTATCATTAAAAAAAGAGCTCGAGAAACCAATCAGACTTCAAATGGGCATTACATTAATTATGGTGAAATGTATGAACCCAATTGAAATCTGATTGGTTTGATGTCGAGCATCAAACCGAAAAGGCGTCGTCAGCGAATTAGAAATTAAGAGGCCAGTATGCGTGTTCAAAAGCAGCATTCTGACCGCGTAATTTCCAACTCGCCGGTCTCGCCAAATGGTCCGAACACGGAATATGAAAAATAATATTGAAGCACATTGACGAAGAGCGCCCGTAGCGAACAATTGATGGCGAAGGAATGAACGGTGCAGCTGCGGTCGGACGGTCACATTTTTTTTCTCGTCGCTCGGTTATTGTTTGGGGCGGGAATGTGCATGAATCATCGACGAAAGGCAGCACGACAAGGAACGACGGGTTGCCGCTTCTAAAAAAAATTTTATTTCGGTATTATGATTGTTCTCGCGCGCAAAATTACATGACGAATACGGCATTTGAAGGAAAAAAGTTGAACATAAAGATGGGAAACTCGCATGCAATGTAAAGGTGTACGAAAAATTTACGATTTTGCCCGAAATTGATGGAGAATTGTGGAATAAATCTCAGCAAGGCTTTAAAAATATCATTGAAATTTCTAGACGCAAAATTACAAAGTGACATAGGTTGCACTCATCAGGATAGCCTTACCTATGTCTAGAATTCAAAATCATAGTTTGTTTTCAATTTTGTTTGGCTTATGTTTTTGGCTGACAATTTCTACGATATTTCCAACAAAATATTGCAAAATTATATATAATCTTCTTGTGTGTTATTTGGGGAACTAAGATGTGTTATAATTATACGTTGAAAACTAGATGAATATGTAAAACACTGGAATAGGAAAATTAACAACGATTTTGTGGCACATTTAAAGGAAACATATTAATAATAATAGGAATTTGTCATTCGTATTTTAGAAAATCTTTGCAAATGACATAATAAATGTGAATGTACATATAGCAAAAATGTTGAAACGCAAAATGAGAAAAGTACAAATGAAATTTTAGAACTCAAAAGAGTGTTCCATTCCGCTATAGCGATTATTAAATTCGTTCAACTTGAATGACCATTTGGCGATCATAAAGCTTCTTGCGGAATTTCGAGTCTCGTGAAAATTTGAAAAAGAAAATGTAAAAATGATTGAAAAATTGTGTTGTTTTTTGAGATTCCAATAGAACTGAATGAGGGGAGATTGTTTAAAATTAGACTTCTTCACATTCTGAGGGTTCTTGTGGGGTTTAAATTCTCAAAATAAGCAAATATTGCATTTTTTCGAAATTGAAAACCTCTAAGAAAGACACACAAATAGAAAAAAAATATACATAAACCTACTGTCCCATTAATTGGGTATCAAATGTAAAAAGCCACATGAGCAAGTTTTATGTCTTTTGAGGTTGTTATCAACGTCTCTTATATGACTTTTCTAGAAATATGACTTTTCTAGATATATTCAAGGGGGGGGGGTAACACTTTCTTGATATGTTAGTACTTATGCCCTTTTAATGAGACAAATTAAAATTTATTTATTTTTGGCGTTTTGTTAGTTTCAAAAACAAATGCGGAAGTTTGTAACGTGGTCGATTTGGGTGTATGTAAATTTAATTTTTGTTGACCATCAAACTGCGCTTACGCAGTTAAGCATATGTACGTCGTTTTGCTTCTTGACAATCTAGCGTATAGCCAATTTATATTACTTTCGATCACTTTTTTGAAACCGAGAATATGCCTTTTTAATACTTTGATATAAAAAATAACAAAATGCATAAAAGCATTGATTTTGCCTTGAAAATTAGAATTGTTGACCAATAGATATCAAAATATCATTTAAATCATTTCTCAATTGCATTGCAAACAATATTTTTCAAGCGCGAAAATCAAAACAATCAAAAGATTTCGGCACATTGCGGCTCACAAAATTCCTAATTGCCACCTTAGTCTTTTTTATTTTCTCATTTTAAAAGACCCAAAGAAAATGTACTTCAGCATGATACCACAACAACTAGGCTCTTGAGAAACATTCCACTTAAAGGCCAAAATAATTTCTCGGCCCATTAAGCATATTCGGCAAAAGAATAGATTCATGATGTCATTACTAAGGAACAACAATGAATTATGTATATTCAATAGTTTGGTATTTTTTTTATTCATTCGAATCCAGTTTTTCCGTTTTATTTTTCATTCTTCGAATATAAAATACTTGAGATTGATAAACACCAATAGATATCAAATGTCAATAAACAAAATCTTGATTTCAATTTTTTTTCAGACCATGCCAAATAGTGAATTCGTTCCAATGAATTTTCAAATAGTGTCTGTTTCATCCGTCGTAGAGGAAAGGCCCAATTTTTCTCGCAGTGTAGGAAATTCAGGAAACAATCGAACACGGCTCCACCACACCCCTCATCATTGCCATTTATTCCATTTAACCATTTCTTCGAAACATGTGACCATTGAGATTACCAATTTCGCGTATGCCGAAAAAAAAATACCAAAAATAAATATTGTCTTTTTTTTTATTTCTTCCGATAAATACGTATATGCGGGCACAATTTGTTGGCTGAAGCACTTTTCGCATAACAGTGCGAAGAGAGATAAATCTGAAGTGCCATTTTTTTGCCAACTTGTTACATTTATTTGCAAATATACGAAGGTTACGGTCGCGATACTTTCCAAGACGCTTGATTGCCTCGACCATTGCCATTTGACTTGAGCTCGACTTTCCCACCATCATTCATGCTTTCCACTATAAAATGCATTTCCATTTTTGCCATAATTGTCTTTTCTTTTTGTTCTTGAATCGAAGCAAAAGTAGCATAAATAGTGGAAATGCGTATTATTTTTATTTTCACCTTTTTTTAAATAAAAAAAAAAAGAATATGGAAGTAATAAGAAATTTACTGATTAGAGATACATTGCTAGTTTGAACCGTTAAACAATATTGCCAATTTTTTAATTTGATGAAATTACGCTATAACATCTTAGTTTTTCATTTTTCAAATCTTGATTACATCGTTTTCATCGTGAAAATATTTGCAAACACACTCCTTTTTAAATTTAACATGTAGTCATTCTTCCAAAAGTTATTTATTCTGAAATATCTCAAATTGGCGTTCACTAGAAAAATTTCCATTGACATTCGGCCATCCAAAACTCGTAAATAATAAACTTGTTGGACCAGGCAATATTCAGAACAAGTTTGAGTGCATGTATGCAGTAGTCTGCCGAAAAAAATGCACTTTTGATTAATTAGCTGTTTTTCATTTTCTGTTAATTCACAAAATTCATTATCTTTATAAAAAAAAAAGTCATAAATTTCTTTTGATTCAATCAAAATAAGTTATTTCAGGATCAAATCAACTACAAATTGTCAAGGTCAGTTATTTTATCGTGAAAATCATTAGCTGAGCACATCAGCATAAACCCCGAAATTCTCATTTTTTTTTAACTTTACGGTCGTTTATAACCCACAACTTTACTAATTGCAAACATTGTAAAATCTTGAGACGATTAAAAAACCATTTGGGTTGTTTATTGTGCAGCTGGCTTATTCACAGCCTCTTTAAAAACGCACTGCACTTAACCTTGATTTTGCACGACTCT